TGCAGGGCACTGGTGGAAGCAAGAGTCGACCTTGTGCTAATAGTCTTCTTCGTTTTTTCTTTTGCTCCTTAGCCGGCTCTTCTTGCTTCAAAATGCAGCGGTGTTTCCACAATTCGGCTTTCGCAAACCATCCCAAACAATCTTTGCAAGGCTGATAATCACGGGGCTTTGCTTCACAAGAAGGTCTATATACGACCACAAGCTCTCCATGACCCTTTTCGAAGACCCTGTAGTTGTGCATGTGATTTCCTTTATTTCTTATCAATGTCAATAGCTTATCCTTTTCTTTTCGATTCGTTGCTGCCATGTATTGAGCCACCTTTATTTCATTGGAATGTTGTGACCGCAGGTGATCAGGAAGTTTTTTGTGGGGCTTCTCACACATCATGCAATAAGCTACCTTGTCATATTTTCGCCCTCCTTGATTGTTGGTCTTCATCACAGTTATCCCCTCATGGTCAGCATCAATGCCTCCATATCTTGATGATGCCTCCAATGACTGATCTGATGACAGAGATTTCAGTGATCGAGTGATGCCATTTATTGATGTACATTTAGCCTTAGGCAATGATGCTTGAGAATTATTTAATGAAGTCTTCCCTGAAGAGTCAGAATCTCCTTGAGAATCACAGACATAGTCTGGATCATCATCACTATCATCATTATGGTCAGATAATGTGTCCTCATTATCACTTGAAAAAATATTTTGTGAAAGGGTTCCATCTGGTACCATCAATGCTTGTGTGGCAGGCTCAGGGAATGGTTCCCAGTGCTCTCGGTTATTAGGGGGGTTTCTGCATAGATCATCAGATGTGTCATCATTATCAGCAAGAAAATTGGACAGTGAAAGGTTTCTATCTGGTTCCATTAAAGGTTGTGTGGCAAGCTCAGTAAATGGTTCCCAATGCACTTGGTTATTAGGGGGGTTTATGCATGGATCATCACATGTGTCATCATTATCAGCTGAAACATTAAACTGTGAAATCTTTCCATCTGATTCCATTAAAGCTTGTGTGGCAGGCTCAGGGGATGGTTCCCAATTTGTTTCGTTATTAGGGGGGTTTCTGCATAGATCATCAGATGTTTCAGCATCATCAGTTAGAACATTGGAGAGTGGAAGGTTTCCATCTGGTTCTATTAAAGGTTGTGTGGCAAGCTCAGTAAATGATTCCCAATGCACTTGGTTATTAGGGGGGTTTATGCATGGATCATCACATGTGTCATCATTATCAACTGGAACATCAAACTGGGAGAGCTTTCCATCTGATTCCATTAACGCTTGTGTGGCAGGCTCAGGGGATGGTTCCCAATGTTCTTGGTTATTAGAGGGGTTCCGGCATGGATCATCACATGTGTCATCATTATCAGCTGAAACACTGAACTGTGAAATCTTACCATCTGATTCCATTAAAGCTTGTGTGGCAGGCTTAGGGGATGGTTCCCAATTTGTTTCGTTATTAGGGGGGTTTCTGCATCGATCTTCAGATGTTTCATCATCATCAGCTCGAACATTGGACTGTGAAAAGTTTCCATCTGGTTCCACTAGTTCTTGTGTGGCAGGCTCGGAGAATGGTGAACAAACTTTTTCTGGGTCTGGTGGGAGGTTTGCAGAATTTTGCAGAATTTCAGGTTTTTCATCTTGGACTCCACTGTGTAATTGAGTAGGACTTGGGAATACAAAATTATCTCCCACCCCATAATCATATAACACTTCTTCACCTTCTTTGATTTTCTTCAATGAGAAGAGAACCAGTTCTGGTTCATTGTGAGGGTTCTCTCTAATCTTCATTCTGCTGTTGACTTCACCCCTCCAACCATGGTTGACGAGTCGTCCCAGTTGTTGTTTAGTTGGTTCGACTGATGCATCCCTACTGGAAATGAAATTGAAAAAAAATGAAAACATTAGATTCATCAATGTTTAAAATTACAATGAATCACTGAAACATACAAGTATATGTGGGTTACAATTTGTGATTTCACTTTAGGTTTTCTCTGTTGTCAGATATTATTTGATTAACTGTTACTTTTCAAGTAGGGTATCACTCAAAGAAGAATCGTTACAGTCATGATTTTTGTTAACGCATGGTTAATTTTAGGAGGAAATTTGAAATACAAGTAACATAGGAAACAAATAGGTAACATTACATGTAGGCATTGGAAATCATAACCAATATCATGAACATTAAACATGCATATGTTTACTTTTCATAAAACAAGATTTGCCTTAAAATTGTAATGCTACAAAATGTCACCGTGCATCAGACAAGAGTACCGAGGCGAAAAAAGACGACGAACTAACCGTGGAAGATTTTTTCAATATAAATACAAATAACAAAAAAAAAAAAAAAAAACACAAAGGTCGAATAACGACACGCCCTACAAGCCACGGGCAACAGCATTGCGAACAAAATATATCCTCTCAAGACCCTCTGAAATACGAGAGCCAAAGACATTACATGGTATAACAAAAATAACAAAAAAGAGAGAGAAGCGACCAAATTGGGGAAAGGGCAAGGAGAGGCAACAGACTAAAGGGAAAATGTACAATTTCGGACATATCTATCCACAAGATGTTTACACCGGGTGGGAGAGATGGAAGAAGGCTTCGGCAGGGGAGAAGGAACATGCGGAGAAGAAAGATGAGTCCAAGGAGAAGAAGGGAGGGAGAGATGAGGAAAGATTAAAAAATAGCATGGGAAAAAGGAAAAAAAGCATTATGATAAACAAGAACAGACGTGTAGAATGAGGGGGGAAAGAAGAAAATAATCTATCTAATCTTTAAAAGTGGAACGTAGCTCCAAAAAGCAAATAAAGAATACAATATAAAAAGTGGCTACTAGCACAAACCTGAATTCATATCAAACGGACCAAACATGTATGCAGTGTTATATTATTCTAGAATGAGCAAAGAAAGCAGGAAATCCAATGCAGGGTTTGAATTGTGCATTGAAAACTACATCCTCAATGAAGATTATGTTTACCAACTGTATGATTTTTGTTCTCAAGTTTTCAAATGATTTTTCAATAAATCTTACCATTTGACATATGTTGGCCCATCTCAGATCATCTTCCCAGATTATAAAGAAGAGGAAATTTGGGAAATTACAAAATGAATGATGAACATTTAACAAAGAAGGATAACAGAAATTAAAAGCAGAAGATGTATAAAGACAACAAGCAGGAGTAGCGAAATGAGAAATCCAGCTACAATGCGAGGATGACGCTGGACAACAGACATTGAAAGAAATGAATTAGGAGGATGGGAAGGGAGAGGAGGAGACAAAGCAGATGAAGAAGTTGAATGAGGAGTTGATGAGCGAGGGGTTAGGAGAGGGGTTGAGGGAGGGGTTGGGAGAGGGGTTGGGAGAGGGGTTAGGAGAGGGGTTGAGGGAGGGGTTGTGTGAGGGGTTGATTGGGGGGTGCGGGGAGGTGTTAGGGGAAGTAATGAATGAACAGATGAAGTAATATCAGACTGAAGTGAAGATGAGGTGTAGAAGAAAGGGGGAGTAGAAAAAGAGTCTTCCGATGACATATTGCAGGGAACTGATGAACCAGCATCATTTAAAACTTCACTGGAGGGAGAGGGAGGTGGTGCAAGCTGCGTAGAAATTTCCGAATCTGTTTCATCATTTAAAACTTCACTGGAGGGAGAGGGAGGTGGTGCAAGTTGCATAGAAATTTCCGAATCTGTTTCATCTGTAAGATGAAATGTGGAGTGTACAAAAAAAAACATGGACTTTTCAGTGTAATGCACCTTTCTTTTATATCCAATATTTGTACCAAATATTGTTTTATATTCTCATTTTATGCTCTCCAAAATGGAATATGATCTGTTGGACTGACAAGGTTGAATAATTGTCATTGGTAAGATTGTGTGTTTTTTGTATGATAGCTAAAACAGGTTTGAATAGATAGAGAAGAATATAAGTTGCATATTTGTTCTATGCTGTCCTTGCCGTATTGATACTTTCTGCAGAAAAATGTATGTGTACTGTATGTGGTCAGTCCACGGGTTTATTCAAAAGCACGGAATAGAATTTGACAGATATGACTAGCTTTCGATCTTTCTCTAGGGAAAAAACAAAAACCACTGGTAGAAAATATGTTGCCCTGTCAACCCACATGTTTACGACTACGTCTTAAGCATATACCCTTAGGTTTGTTTTCAACACCTATCATTACAAAATATACTTTTCAATAAATCAAGTCGTCATAGTATGTAGACTTACCACCATTTCGTCCCTTTCCATGTGAAAAAGTATCTGAAGCAAGTTTCACAGTCTGCATCTCTTTGTTCCCCCACATCTCTGGTTACCAGATCTCCTCTGTACCACAAAAGGAATTCTCCCTCTTCAAACGTTTTGGTGGTAAAGACTGCTCTACCTGTGATTGAAGAAATACATAATCTTCATGAGATCAATCATGCGAGTTTGAACATTGTGAATATGATGTTACAAGTATATTTGTCTGTCATTTAAGATAATGCTCAGGTGTGATAAGTAACTCGGACTCGTACTTGTAAGAAGGCACTTATTTTCAAAATTGGTTGAGTTTTAAATAACATTTGTGTGTCTTTTTGGTCACATTGCCATCAAGCAGACTTGTAAGCAACACATTGTATTTAATATTAGTATGCTGCAGATATTAAATTACAATGTCATGCATGTCATGATGAACATGACGTTTTCTCTAGATTTTCTAAAAACTTTTTGACATTCAACCCCATGAGGAGGCATTAAAATTCATTTCAAGGTCTAACCTTTAAACACTTAACCAAATCAAGTTTAATATCTCCTGCTTTACAAAAGAGCCCTGTACATACAAATATTTACAAAAAAATAGAATACATTGTAGAAAACATTTAAAAAAAAGCTTTAAAAAAATAAAAACTAGATCAAAATGAACAGAAGGCCTTAAATATTAAACATTTAAGATATTATTGATACAAAGAAAAATGACCAAAAAAATATTTTAAAAAATACACATGCCGTAAAAATAGACTACACAACTGCAAACAGACAAACAAACAAAACTAACTCATGGTAAAAGTCATGATATAACATTAGGTACCAGTGCATGCATTAAAGTGATAGAGGGAGTGACTTAATTTGGTTTTTTAACATTTGGAGTGAAGTTGCCGTGCGAATATGAGTCGGTAGATTGTTATAGATGCTTGGAGCAGTGAAAGAAAAAGAACGTTTTTTAAATTCAGTCTTTGGTTTCAGGATAAATAAGGGATTTAAGGTAGAATGACAAGTAACAAAGTAAACTGGACGATTATGACCAAAAGATTCTAAATAAGGGGCTAGATTATTGAGTATTTTGTAGACGAAAATGCAGTAGTGGTAATTGATTCTATTTTCAACACTTTGCCATTGAAGACTGCTTCACGCAATTAAGTGTTGAATTAAGATTATAAAAACAGAAAAATATGAGGGAAAGCATATCAAATATTCTACTGCATGAAATTAATGAAATATACAGAAAGGGTATAGATTTTACTAAAGAAGTTGACCTGTTTAACTGCGAAGGGTATCAAAGTTACTCTGAAAAGAGCTGGTGATTTTCAGACAATAGGCGATGAGGTGTGATCAAAGAACCATACCAGGCGTTCCTTGCATAGTCTAGCTCTGAATCAATATTTTATTGAGCATATTAATGTTAGATATCTATGCTACAGTGAATTTTCACTATTAATACAATCTACATGTACATGTATGTAACCTCACTCACCTTTGTCAGGCAGCTGTTTCACTGTAAATCCTTCAGGATCAACTTCACTAAAAATATCTGGAACTGTCTGTCTGGTTTGACTTCTGAGAATCCGATTCTGAAACAGGTCAAGTAAATATTAGTAATATTATGCAGAAACACAGCTGTGAGCAAGCTGGAAGAAAATATCTAAATATTACACCCCCCCCCCCCCCCACATCCTCCCCCTTATCATACTGGAATTTGCCAAAATATTGCTACTCATATCCATGCTCAATTTTATTATATTATTTGTTAAAATCATGAGGTATTATGAAACACGTCCATTATGATGTACATCAAGGGGGTCATGTAAATACATGGCTCCACATTTCCCATGCACACATCTTATCATATTTGACTCATTTGCAATAGATATAGATTGCTCCACATTTCCTATGCACACATTTATACATATCTAGCCCATATGCAATAATAAATGTGGCTCCACATTTCCCATGCACACATTTATACATATCTGGCTGATGTGTAATATATATAGATATGGCTCCACATTTCCCATGCACACATTTATACATCTTCAATCCACCTTAAATAGTTGAGATAAACATGGCTCCACATTTCCCATGCACCCATTTATACACATCTGGCCTATATGTAATATATATATGGCTCCACATTTCCCATGCACAAATGTATAGACATCTGGCCCATGTGTAATATATATATATATATATATATGGCTCCACATTTCCCATGCATAAATGTATACATATCTGGGTCATGTGTAATATATATATAGATATGGCTCCACATTTCCCATGCACACATTTATACACATCTGGCCCATTTGTAATATATATATATGGCTCCACATTTTCCATGCACACATTTATACACATCTGGCCCATGTATAATATTTATAGATATGGCTCCACATTTCCCATGCACACATTTATACAAATCTGGCCCATGTATAATATATATATATATATATGGCTCCACATTTCCCATGCACACATTTATACACATCTGGCCCATGTGTAATATATATATGGCTCCACATTTCCCATGCATACATTTATACACATCTGGCCCATGTGTAATATATATATGGCTCCACATTTCCCATGCACACATTTATACATCTGGTCCATGTGTAATATATATATGGCTCCACATTTCCCATGCACACATTTATACACATCTGGCCCATGTGTAATATATATATGGCTCCACATTTCCCATGCACACATTTATACACATCTGGCCCATTTGTAATATATATATATGGCTCCACATTTTCCATGCACACATTTATACACATCTGGCCCATGTATAATATATATAGATATGGCTCCACATTTCCCATGCACACATTTATACAAATCTGGCCCATGTATAATATATATATATGGCTCCACATTTCCCATGCACACATTTATACACATCTGGCCCATGTGTAATATATATATATATATGGCTCCACATTTCCCATGCACACATTTATACACATCTGGTCCATGTGTAATATATATATGTGGCTCCACATTTCCCATGCACACATTTATACATCTGGCCCATGTGTAATATATATATATGGCTCCACATTTCCCATGCACACATTTATACACATCTGGCCCATGTGTAATATATATATATATGGCTCCACATTTCCCATGCACACATTTATACATCTTCAATCCACCTTAAATAGTTCAGATAAACATGGTTCCACATTTTCCATGCACACATTTATACATATCCGGGTCATGTGTAATATATATA